CAGCAGCACCAGTGCGACTCCAGCAGCATCAACACCAGCCCCAGCTGCACCACGATCGAGTCCAGCAAGACGTGACCGGCACCAACGGCACTGCCACCAACTCCAGCAGCACCACGACTAACCAGCGACCCACTCCAGCAGAACCAGGCTGTGATTTCCAGCAGCACCAACACCAACACCAGCTGCACCCTGACCGACTCCAGCAACACGTGACCGACGCCAGCAACACCGCCACCAACTCCAGCGCCACGACCAACCAGCGACCCACTCCAGCAGCACAAATGTGACTCCGGCAGCGTCAACACAAACCCCGGCTGCACCGCGACCGACCCCAGCCGAAACTGACAGACACCAACAGCACCGCCACCAACTCCAGCAGCACCTTGACCAACCAAAGACCCACTCCAGCGGCACCAGTGCAACCCCAGCAGCCTCCGCAGCCAACCTGGATGCGCACTGGGGGGGCTAGGTGTACTTCAGGAACAACCGAATTTGAGTTCGAACCTGGATATACTTCATACTAACCAAGCTAATCGTAACTGCACCTCCCCAAGACATCAGAATATCAAGAAAGATCACGATGTGGAAATTCATGAGCAGCTCAGACACTCCCAATCATATCAATATCATTTCTTCTGACAGGCATTATGTAGCACAACTAGCATTGCAAGATATGATATTTTCACGCCGACAGTCTGCCTCGTGCAGAAGGCTTGTTGCTTCTCATACCCTTCGCAGTGGACACATAGTACAAGCCAATTCGGACTTGCATAACCATTACCTTTGATCTTCGTTCAGCAACTCGATGCGCTGAGCAGGTGATCCACCCCGAGCTCGACGACACGTTCGGCTGGGAGGTCCACCAGGTCGCAGGCACACCGTAGAAGTCGGCGACCTGGCCCTTGAAAGCCGCGAAGGCGGCGCACTCCGTCACACAATGACGGACCGATGGCCAATATGCTTCACCACAACACGGGCAGTACGGGTCACAGTCGAAGTCGTGGTTCCCCCCGCGCGTGTGGGAGCTGGCCGCTCCACTTATCTAACTCATAACTTTGTCATTCCAACGGCGAAAGGGCGTCTCAGAATTTCTTCCGCGTTTTGCCCGACAGGGCCTCCACATCCACGTCACTCATACCAGGGAAATCACGTCGAGCTGGGGCCGCCGCCGCCAATGCACGCAAACGACAAACAGCTCGCAAAACATGAAATACTCGCTCACCCTCAGAACACCAGAAACCTTGGGGACGCTACAGCCCACGCTCTGCCTGCCCAGGCGGAGCGTGGTGGTGCTGTTCCCCAACACATTGTTCCGATTGGGTGCGCTCGGCTTAATTTCTGCGACGAGCACGTGCGAGAAGGGCAGACAATGGAAGCGGTTCGGGATGGCAGAGGCAGCGCGGTGGGAGGAGCGAGGAGGGACTGCAGTGGCGGCGTGGAGGATGGCGGCATGACGAGGAAGGAATGCAGTGGCGGCGCGGTTGGGGAACAGGAGTTGGGAGGAGGGATGGCGGCACTGGCAGCACGGCGAGAGTGGGCGGGCAAGGCGAGCCAGTAGGAGCGGGCAGGGACGACGCTGGCGGCACGGCGGGGAGAAACGGCAGTGGCGGGGAGATTCTGGCCAACCACCCCGACCATGTCCGTGTGATTTGCGAGAAGGCCAGAAGATCCCAACTGCCAGACATTGGCAAGGAAACAATGCGGGTGACCAGCCCGATGCTTTGCGGGGATTCCAAACACGTAATCCACCATCACATCAATCAAACCGTGGACGCGTCCGTGGCCTCTGACCAGACCATTTACTGATTCGTACATAGCACGCACCGAATAATGGTGCCCTGATGTCAGACGTTTACGATCACTACAAGGCCGACGATGGCATATTGGTACATCACATACAACCCGGACGATCAACCACAACGCTGCGACCCGCAAGTGGGACAAGGACGAGCAATGGCAATTGGCCTTCGCGTTGCTAGAAAAAAACACGTGGACAATAAAATGGAGCCTGCCGTCACCGTCCTGCAATAGTGTCCCGATCAGCGCATGCGCAAAAGAGGAGCAGTGAAAGCAAAAAACGGCAACGGCAGCATGGTGGGAGGTGGAGCGGAAAACGGCAGTGGAGGTGGGGAGTGGCGCATACGAGAAGGGCCGGCGGTGGGAGCGGGGAGGGACGCCAGTGGCAGCATGGACGGTGGCAAAACGGCAGGGGGGACTTGCGGCGGCGGCGATGGCGTTGGAGCAACAGTATCAGCCAGCCCTGGCGCTGCCCATCGAGATGTTGGGAGTGAAGTAAGAGCCCACTATCATACATCATGAGACACAGCGTTATCGCCTGCACGTGCGAAAAGTGCGGCCAGCCCAGCGGAATGTGGGCGGCGTTTCGGCGGCGTCGCGTACGGGGCTGGCGCAGGAGGCAGGGATGCGGACCGAGAAGCTTGGGATTGGAAATTGGGGCGCGGCCAGGGTCCCCCGCTTCGCCTCTCGCAATTACGTGCGCCTTGCGGCCAGCCGGGTTGATTTGAAGTGGGTGGCGCGAGGAGCAGCTGACTCTCAGTTCGCGTCGGCCGTGGAGAAAAGGAAAAAATTGGTAACCACGGGGCGTCGCTGTCGACCCACGGCAGCTACCGGCCACCATAGCACGCCGATTGGCCAACCCTGCCCCGCCGGGCAACGGGGGCCTCCCGCTGGGCCGCAGCCTGCTGGTCGGCAGCGCGCTGCCCCTGGGTCCTACCACGCTCTCCTTCCCTCCGCACGCCGAAATGGCGCTGGGTTGTTGCCTGCAGCCGCCACGCAGGGGACCCGGGCACGGTCTTGCCGCACGCCACCCCGCGTTAGCCCAGCATTTGCCTGGTGCACTGTTCCATTGGTGCACCTCCACTTGTCGCACCTTTCACTCAGCCCCCGCCGGCCGGGCTGGCCGCGCCAGCTCACTCGGGAGCGGCCCGACCCCCCTGAGCGGTGACAGCTCGGTAATCCAAGAGGCGCAAGTCATAACAATCACAACAAACCCAGCCCCTTTGTTCCCCTCCCCTCGGCCGCCCGCTCTCTCCCTCCTCCCCCCTCTTGCATGCTGGCCAATTCGCTACAGCGGTGCTCCCATTTAGTTAGCTTCTTCTGCCAGCGCAGACGACCCCTGCCTAGCCGCCGACACAAAACCTAGGTGCGGACGCCAAACGGCTCGGCGCGTCGCACCGCGACGATGGGTGCGGCGCCCGCCCCTGGCCGCGCGCAGCGGTGCCCCGAGCCGACGGTGGCTCGGGCACTCGCCTGCGCCGCCAGCCTAGCCGAGTGCCCGGCGCGAACACCCCAAGCCGAATGGCCGCCAAGGGAGCGGCGGGTGGGCAAAAACCGCACCGCAGGTGCCCCTCGCCGAACGGGGCGGGACCCCCCCCCAGCCGAGCGTGCGCGGTGCCCCTCCCAACCCTGGGCGGCGCACGCGCCCCCTCGCGTGCTCGCCCATGCAAGCAGGGCGGACTGAGCGACGCCTCGCGCCCATCGCTTGGGCTCACGTCGCCCCGCGCCGCTGCGCGTCGCGCGGCGCCCCCTCCTTTTTGGCCGAAGCATAAGGGCTGGGGTGGGGGCGCCCAGCCCTCTGTTTCGTGACCGTGATCAACGTTGCACGATGATCGCCCGCGAAAGAAGGTGTATGTGCGTGTGTGTGTGATGTGTGGTGTGGTGTGTGTGTATGTGTGTCTGTGTGTGTGTGTGTCTGTGTATGTGTCTGCGTGTATGCGCGCGTGGCGTGTATGTGTGTGTGTGTTTGGTGTCTGTGTGTGTGTGTGTCTGAGTGTCTGTGTGCCTGTGTGTGTGCATGTGTATGCGTATGTGGTGTGGTCTGTGTGTGTTCGTCTCTGTGTGGTGTGGTGTGTCGGTGTGTCGGGGTGCCTGTGTGTCTGTGCGTGCCTGTGTGTGTCTGTGTGTGTCTGTGTGTCTGCCTGTGTCTGTGTATGTCTGTGTGAGAATATGCACGCGTCTATGTGAGTAGATGTCTGTGTGTTGAGGTGCATGCACGTGTTTATGTGTCTGCGTGTGCCTGTGAATGTGGTGTGTGGCTGTGTCTGCGTGTGTGCGTATGTGTGTGTGTGTCTGTGTGTCTGCGTGCGTGTGGTAGGTGTGAAGATGTGTGTGTCTGTGTATGTGTCTGTGTGCGTGGTGTGTGTGGTATGTGTCTCTGTGTGTCTGTGTGTGCGTCTTTGTGTTTGTGTGTCTGTGTGTGTCTGTGTCTGCGTGTACGTGTCTGTGTGTGTGGCTGTGTGTGTCTGTGTGTCCATGTGTGTCTGTGTGTCTGTGTGTGTCTATGTCTGTGTATGCCTGTAGGTCTGTATGTGTCTGTGCATCTGTGTGTGTGTCGTGTCAGTGTGTCTGTGTGTCGGCATGTGTCTGCGTGCAGCCGCCCCGAACTGACCGCTGTTGCAAGAAACCTCTGTCTCGCCGCCAACCGAGAAAGTTTCTGCGTGTACGTGTGTCTGTGTGTCTGTGTGTGTCTGTGTGTCTGTGCGTATATGTAAATGTCTGTGTGTCTGTAGTATGTATGTGTCTGTGTGTCTGAGTGTCTGGGTGTCTGTGTTTCTGAGCCTGTGTGCTTGGGTCTGTGTGTCTGTGTGGTCTGTGTCTGTGTGTCAGACTGTGTCTGTGTGTCTGTGTGTCTGTGTGTGTCTGCGTGTTTGTGTGTCTATGTCGTTGTGTCTGTGTCTGTATGTCTGTGAATGTACGTGTGTTTGTGTGTGTGTCTGTGTATCTGTGTGTGTCGTGTTTGTCTGAATGAATGTGTGTCTCTCTGTGTGAGTCTGTGTCTGTGTGTCTGTGTGTCTGTGTGTCTGTGTGTGTTTGTGTTTGTGTCTATGTGTGTGTGTGTCTGTGTGTCTATGTGTCTGTGTGTGTCTCTGTGTCCGTGTCTGTTTTTCTGTGTGCGCGTCTCTGTCTGTGTGTCTGTATGTCTGTGTCTGTGTGTGTCTGTGTCTGTGTGTCTGTGTGTCTGTGTGTCTGTGTGTCTGTGTGTCTGTGTGTCTGCGTGTATGTGTATGTGTGTGTCTCGGATCCTGACTTTTGCTCGTGCACGGCTCTTTGGGCGTGCTTTTCTCCTGGTTCGCTCTCACTCCCGCGCGCCGTCCCCGATGCAGGAGCCCGTCCATGCTGCTGATCGCGACGGTGTCACCTCACTGGTGGAGGAAAAAGTGCCGGGACCGTGCATGCTTCGCTAGACCATTGTTTTTCGGGTCGGGCAAAAGGGGGAGATAGCAAAGGGGGGGGTTGAGAATCAGCTCACGTAGCTGATTCTCCTGGCGCCTCCCAGCGCCGGAGGCGGCTATGTATCGAGGAATGGGCCCCTCGGTGGAGCCGAAACCAGCTGCATGCAGCAAATTTCGTAACCCCCCCTTTCCCAATCCCCCCCTTTCGCCTGGCCCGAGTTTTGCGGAGCGATAGCTGGGGCCCTCCGACGCACCGAGCCCAGCAGGCGCTCACAGGCAGGAAGCGGTGCCCACACCGTCAGAAAGGTTCGGCCGGCACGTTCCCGTGGAACCTGCCGCCCAGCGTCCCTTCACCCACCCTTCTCCTGCTCGTCTATTGTATGTCTCCTCCTCCTCCTCCACCCCCTCCCCCTCCTCCTCCTCCTCCTCCTCCTCTCCTCCTCCTCCTCCTCCTCCCCTCCTCCTCCTCCTCCTCCTCCTCCTCCTCCTCCTCCTCCTCCTCCTCCCTCCTCCTCCTCCTCCTCCTCCTCCTCCTCCTCCTCCTCCTCCTCCTCCCTCCTCCTCCTCCTCCTCCTCCTCCTCCTCCTCCTCCTCCTCCTCCACCCCCCCCCTCCTCCTCCTCCTCCTCCTCCTCCTCCTCCTCCTCCTCCTCCTCCTCCTCCTCCTCCTCCTCCTCCTCCTCCTCCCCCTCCTCCCCCTCCTCCTCCTCCATCACCTCCTCCACCCCCTCTTCTCCATCCAGTCCCCCCTGCACCTAAGCATCCACGGAGCTGGGGCCGGGAGGCCCGCCTAGGCCCCCTCCGACCGGCGGGCGGAAGCGCTTGGTGATGAGCCCGTTCTTCTTGCTGCGCGCCTTGCGCAGGAGCGCTGAGGACGAGGAGGGTGAGGGAAGGGTGATCATCGGGAGGGGGAAGGAGAAGGGGGGCGTCGGGTGAGGAGGCAGGAGGAAAGGGGCCATGTCGAGGCCGTCCGGGGGCACTTCTGAACCACTGGACCCCCCACCTCCAAACCTTCTGGGACGACCTCTCCGGGGAGGGTTTCGGGGAGGGGCAAGTATCTCACACGCCGAGGAATGCCCAAGGGGTCGGCAGAGTTTTCAGTCTCCCGCTCATCTCTGCCTCCTTCTTCTCCTCGCCCCCTCTCCCAATCTCCTCTTCCCCCCCTCCTCCTCATCAGTCTTCTCCACATCCAAAGTGTGAAAATAGATGGGGCGGGTGAGAGAAGGGAAAGACGTGGACCAGAAGGAAGACGATGATGAAATGGCGAGAGCGTGAAGAGGACGCAGGAGGACGGAGGGGCATGAAGACGCGAAGTGAAGGGCAGAGAGGCGCGCGGAGGGCAAGGACTTGCGTGATCCTTGACGCCCCACGCGAATCTATAGCCATGGGTGCCTTTTGGAGACCTCTTGGCGCGCCTGGGTCGTGGGCCAGAGGCGCCGTGAAGGCCGCCCAGGCTTCTTCGTGTGCTTCGCGGGGTTCGCGTCAGGATCGCGTAGAGCATGGACATTTTTGGACTCTCGGGAACTTAGTGGAGGAAGGCCTCTGGACGGCCTCTTTGGGTTTTCTGGAGGGTTTTTTGAAGGCGGTCTGGGGTATCTTAGGGACGCCTTTGATCGTCGTCGGGCGCTCTGGGGCCGCCCAGCGCGTTCGGAGGCCATCCCGGTGGCCTCTCTTGGGCGGTCTCTGGGACGTTCTGGGCCACTTTGGAACCCCCTTGAGGGCAGTCTGAGGGTCCTCTTGGGGGCCTCCTCGGCCGTTCTGGGGCCCCCAGAGGCCTCAAGATGGTGGTCTCCGCGCGGCCCCACATGGCGCCAGGAAGCGCCGCAATAGCCTGAACGCAGCCCACAAAGCCTCCAAGACACCCCAACAGAGCTCACGAAGTACTTCCAAGAGGACCTTCCAGAGCACAAATCACACCCTTTCCTTGGGACAGCGTGAATTTTACCACGCGCGCCTTCCTCGTCTTAACCGCGCCCATGACGGCCCCTGAGGCCCCAAGGATCGCCCCAAGACGACCCACTACTTGTCTCTTGAACTGCACCGCTGCCCGGCGCGCGCTGACTTCCTTCCGTGTATGCCCCCGGACCTCCTTGTCGCCTGACGTGCGCCGCTGCTCGGCGCGCGCCGACTTCCTGCCACCCGCGCGTCGACCATGAGGATCCACAGCCCCGCCGACGCAGGCGCTAGTCTCGCGCTTCATGAGAATGCGTCGCGGTGGCCTTTTGGACGACGCGGCGAGCAGATTCCTGTTCACTTGCGTCGCTTGCCATCGTCCGCGCAGCTGCCTGGAGAAGTTGCGCAGCTCCTCATTCGAAGCGCCTCCCCCGCCATGTAGCGTCTCCAACGACCATACAAATCGTCCACAACAGCCACGACAACCCCGCTGAGCGCCTTAGCGACCCACACACACATACACGCACACACAACAAACGAACAACGCACAAACACAAACACCCTTCAGAACGCACCCAACCTAAAACAAGGGGTCGGCGGATGTGCCGTAAGCGTCTGAATAAACAAGTTAGCCAAGTCGATCAGGACAGCGGGTCCCGCCAATTCCCACCCTCCCTCCCATAGAATAAACAACACATTGTGGCGCAACTTGACGTTGTGACTGGAACCCGTTCCCACCTAGCTCATGGAAGGCGCTCGCGCGTGGCCCCGTTTGCGACTACTTGGCCAGGGGAAGGGAGGGGGGGAGGGATGAACGCGAGCCGTGCACAAGCGTGACTTGACAAAATCATGACTCGGCGAACGCCCAGTGTCGGACGGCCAAAGCTCCCAAGAACGCGGCGAAGACGAAGCATACGCGGCGCCGACAACATCACTGCCACTTTCACGAACAACCTGCGCAACTTCGCCTGCTCTCGCGCGGACTCTCTACCGGTGCCGTTTTCGTGCGACTCGGCGAATGACGAACATGCGTCGCGCCCTAGCGGAAAGGCCGATTCAAGCGAAATCTGCACGGAACTTGTGCGAGAGCGACAATTTACCCGCTCGCGCGTGGCTCCACCGCGCCGCGCCGAAGCGGAGCGCCACTTTCAGGCGAAACTCTCGCGGCGCCGAAGCGAGAGCGACAGTTCGCCCGCATGCGCGCGACCCCGCCGTCGACGAACTGGCGAGCGAAAAAAAGCGTGCCGCGTCCATTGAGGGATGAAAAAACGACCCTACCCTGGGTACAAGTGCGTGGTCTGTAAACCTCCTGGGAACCCCCAAAAGCCTAGAGCCGCCAGGACGCGGCACATCACGCAGGGTTTCCCCTGCCAGCCCACAGGAGTTTCAGCGCACAGCGCCTCGTAAACCAGGGGGGTAGGGGCGTGTTGTATGCCCTTGAGAGTCCAAGCGCGGGCCGAACTCTCAGGACAGAGGAGCGCGGGTGTTCTGCGCGACAGCGCCGTGTCGCCCTGTTTCGCACGGGGTGCACGATCTGCCCGATCCCCGCCACGCACTGTGCAACTTCGGCCACAGAGCATCAGTGCTGAAGGGAAGCACGTCGACTCTGTATTGGTTGTGCCCTCTTTCGGGATAAGGCACTGCTCGCACATCCTCCCTTCCTCCAGTCTCCTTCCCTGCTCCTGCCTAGTAATCCTGAATGTGTGTGTGTCTGCCCTACCACCCAGAGTAGACCCCGCGGCTCCCTGAGGGGACTACCAAGGGAGCAACTGCAGCCGCGTTCGTGAGCGCCTGGGAGGTCCAGCGGAGTGAAGTTGCACGCGCACCCAGACGAGATCGTGCGGCGCCCCTGGGGAGGGAGGCTGAGTAATTGTCGTCACTTTCGTGGGCTCCTGGTAATGTCCAGCAGAGTGGAGGTGTATGCACATCCAGACGCGCCCTCGCGGCTGCCTGATGGGCTACCGATTTCGCAACTGTCGCCGCTGTCGTGGGTTCCTGGGAGGTCCAGCGGAGTGGAGCTGCACACACATGCAGACGTGACGAGACTTCGCGGCCCCCTGGTGGGCTTGGCTGCCCACTGCGCGACGGTCCCCAGTTTTGTGAGCTCATGGGCCCCCCTTCCCTGGAGTGGAGCTGCACGCACATCCAAACACGACCTCGTGACTCCCTGGAGGGGCCGCCAACTGCACAACCGTCGAAGCTTTCGTGGGCTCCTGGGAGGTCCAGCGGAGTGAAGTGTTACACACATCCAGACGAGACCCCGCGGCTCCCGCGGGGGGCCGCGAACTTTCGTGAGCGCCTGGGAGGTCCAGCGGAGTGGAGTTGTAGGCACATCCAGACGAAACCTCGCGTCTCCCCGGGGGGGCCTGCTACGTGCGCAACTGTCGCCACTTTCGTGGGCTCCTGGGAGGTCCAGCGGAGTGGGGTTGCACGCACATCCAGACGAGACGAGACCTCGTGGCTGCTACCAACTGCGCAACTGTCGCCGCTTTCGTGAGCTCCTGAGAAGTCCACGGGAGTGGAACTGTAAGCAAACCTGGGCGGGACCTCGCGGTTTGCTGGAGGGGCGATCTGGGCGCTCTAAGCGTTAAGGAATGGTTCGTGTCTTCGAATCCTGGAACGCTCCTATTGATAGTCGCCTCACGTTTAGAACATATTGGTCACGTCTCCGGCAAGTCACATGTAAGAAAGACGATGTTGGATCTGGCCCTTGTCGACCAGCTATGTGACAGAGTGGGAGTGCACACTGATCAAGAATAAGGAGGAGTAATGCAGAGGAAGGGGGACGAGACAGAACGGGGCGAAAAGGAGAAGAGAGGGACGGGGAAGAGAGGGGAGGGGGGAAGAGAGGGGTGGACTAGAAGAGAGGGGGTGGAAGGGGAACACTGAAGAGAACAGGGGGGGATAAGAGGGAGAGGAGGGAAAGGAGAGTGATCACACTATGTGCGCTTGCGCCACCTCTGAAATCCTACTTCCTTCCATCCCTTCCCGTTGCGTCAATCTCTTCTATTCGCCGAGTCGGCTGTCAGACCTGGCCTTGATCCCAGACCAGTCAGGGCGAGGTGTCGCCAGACGGCGCGCAGAGAAAACGGGCGACGTCCCCCCGCCCGCCGACATCTTCGCCGTCGTCTGACGTTCGTCCCGTCGTGCTCGGCGTTGTTGGGCGCATCGTGTTCTCAGGAGGCGTTGGCTTCGCTGATAGATGCCCCAGCTCCAAGAGCCCCAGGCCCTCCTCCTCGTAGGGGAAGACTGGTTCAGCGCGGGCGCAGGCAGATTCGGTGTTCCATGGCCGGTGGTCTTTCTTGGCCATCGCTCGCGCTGTGCCCAACGAAAGGCGGATGACGAGGAGCAGGAGCAGGAGAAGAGGGAGAAGAGGGACCAGGGAGAGGGAGAGGGCAGGTGCGCGAGGAGGAAGAGACCGAAAACGGGAGGGCACCGCACGTGCACCAACATCGATGCTGACCAGGCCGATCACTGGCCCCGGGTCGGTTGATACCGACCCCCTGGCGAAACCGATCCTCGGACCAGCACGGGCATGGCGAGGATCGGTGCAGGCATACAGCTGGCGCCCCCCGAGAGGAAGGGTCTGTCTGGGGCAAGTTCACGTGGCGATGACGTCGGCGATGGTTTCTGACACGGCGCGGACGAACGATCGCGGCGCTCCGATGCTTCGAACCGTTCGATGTGAACCGAGTCTGGGCCGCTCTCGGCGTTCAACCTTGAGCGCCCGCGCGGCCGTCTGAAGAGGCAGCGAGAGGCAGTCAACGGTAATCCAGAGGGACAGCCCCTGAGATCCAGTAGGAGCACACGCAGACCATCCGCCCCCACGAGAGGAGCTTGACTCGACTGCACGGAATTGTTGAACCTCTTCCTACGCTTCAGTTGCGCTCGAGGCGTTCGCCTCCCGCGAAGACCTGACGACCATTCACGAGCAGCCCATCGCTGTCTCCACCACAAGCCGCCGCCGCCGCCGCGTGAGCTCGGCGCGAACCTGCCGCGCTTCCCTCCGACGCGGCCCGGCCCCCGCGGGCGCCACGGCCGCGAGGTCGCTGCCCTTCTGCACCTCGCCGGCGGGCAGCAGCGGCTGCGGCTCCCCGGAGGAGCAGTCGAACTCCACGTGCGCCTCCTGCGGGGAGGCAGCGCGGCGGGGAAGGCGAGACGGGGGGCGGGCGCGCAGCGGTCGGCGGCGGCAGCGCGGGCAAGGGCAGCGGAGAAGGGCAGCGCGCAGGAGCCCGGAGGACGAGCCCTGCGAGGGCCCCGCGGGTGAGCCAGGAGCGGCGGAGGGGGAGGCGGCGGAGGCGGAGTAGGCGAAGCAACTCTCTCGCGGTGCTTAGGCAGCGGAGGCGGTCGACGACCCTGGCGGTCGACTGTGCCTCGCTGTCGCCGGGCGGCATGCCCGGGTGGCTGCAACTGCGGGTCTCAATTGCACTAATGGGAGGGCGGGGGGGCTCCCCTCAGACCCCCACGAGACAAGAACGACGGCGGCGGGGGACGGCGAGAGGGTGAGGGCGGAGCAATGAGGGGGGAGGGTAGAGCAAAGAGCGAGAGGCGATGAACGAGGGACGAGGAGGGACGCCTGGAGTGGCAGAGGCTTCGCCCGGCAGCAGGCATCGAGGGAGAAGTTCGCGAGGATGCAGGGAGACGTGAGGGCATCGCGCCAATACAAGTGGTGGCTCAGATGAGAGAGGCACGCCCGAAGCGAGGTGAGGCGACAAGCGTGTACCGCCGACGTGGAAAAGGCAACACCCCACGCCGATCATCACCTCGAACAAAGACACCTCGCTGCCACGAATGCGCCGGTGGAATGGTCGCATCGCGCCCGACGCTCAGAGAATGGATCCAAGCCAGCCACGTGCACGCATCGGGGAGGAAAGCAGGGGAGGGAGGGAGGAGGAGGAGGAGGAGGAGGACGAGGAGATGGAGGACGAGGAGGAGGAGGAGGAGGAGGGCATGCACATGTCAATTTCAATGACCAGTAAGTTGCAGCGCTGGGCCTGTAGCTCACGCGTGTGCGCTGTCCTGGCCGCCTAGTCTCGTGCCAAACGCCCCTGAACGAGATAGAAACAACATCCAGTGCGAAGGGGGTACCCTTGCGCTTGGGATCGAGAGGGGGAGATGAGAGCGAGGAGGACCAGAGCAAACCCAAGATGCATCAGCAGCGCTGCAGTACACCCTCCCCTCCCAAAGTCCCCTCCCCATTGGTCCCCACAAATCCGCCGACCCCTTGGGGTCATCGGCGTGTGAGATGCTTCCCCCCTCCCCAAACCCCTCCCCCCGGAGCCTGGTCCGGTCGTTTTGGAGGGGGGGGGGGGGGGGTCCGGCCGGATTCCCCGGGATCCGCCGGCGCGGTCCGGGGGGGGTCATCCGCTCCAGAGAGTCTGCTGGGGGGGCCGCAAACGAGCGAAGAGGCTCCCAAGAAGCTCTGCAGACGGTCCAAGAGGGCCCCGAGTCGCCGAAAAAACACTCGAAGACGGTCAAGATGGCCTCCAGATGGCCCCAGATGCCTCCAAGACGCCCCAAGAAGCTTCCAAGACGCCTCCCAAGATGGCCCCAAGAGGCCAAAATCGTCGATTTCCATTGGTTTTTTCAACGTTTTTGGCCTTCGCGTTTTTTCGGGCTTCCGACGCTCCAAGACGGCGAAAGAAGCCCCCAAGACGGCATCAAGACGACCCGAGAGGCTCCCAAGTGGGCCCCAACACGGCCCAAGAGCGCCTCAAAACGGCTCAAGAGGGCCTTCAGACAGTCCAAGAGGGCCCACAGAGGGGCCCAAGAAAGGCTCCAGACGGGGACCACGAACCTAAAATTCTAGCCTTCCGCCCCAAAAGGCGCCAAGGAGGCCCCAAGAGGCCTCCAAGAGGCTCCAAGAAGCCCCCAAGAGGCCCCCAACAAGCCCAAAAAAAGCCCCAAGCTGCCCCAAAACAGCTCCCCAGAAGCCTCCAAACTGCCTCCCGCAGGCCCCCGAGAGGATTCTCACGACGACGGCGCCAGAGGCTCCCACAACGGTCAACGAAGCCCCCAAGATGGCCCCAAAAAGGTGCCCAGCCTACGCCGTCGAGTCTGTCGCCGCCATTGTCGTCCTCGTCGTGTTCTCCTGCTCCTTCTCATCCTCCTCTTCCGCCCCCTCCTCCCGTCTCCCCTCTCAGCTTTCTGTCTCGTATTCCCTCCACTGGCTCACTTTTCACCTTCTCCGCCTTTGGCTGCTCCCCCATCCTCCCTCCTCCACGTCCCCCTTATCCATCCCGTCCCCAGCGGTCAGATTCCTCGCAACTTCCGTGCCTTGTCGCAATGCTCGTCACTTGGTTCCGCCGGGCGTTTCGGAGGGTCTCTCCGCGGCGCTCGTCCCGCTTTAAAACACTTCGCGCACACAACTGGGTTGTTTCGCTTGAAATAATTCTTCTTCTGGTCTTTCGACAAATGGCCCCCGTCTGAAAACGCTGGTTTCTTCCCGTCCCCGTTCGGTGGGCACGCGGAGCATTCAAACTTTTTCGCCCCCGTGCGCGCATCGTGACACGCGCGGCACACGACTGGGCGATGCGCCTGGCCCGTCTTCCTATAATGTACTTTCTGGTTATCGGACAAATGGCTCAAGTCTGTGAACGCGGGCGCCTTCCCATCCGCCCCCGTCGGGCATGCTCCACAACGGAAAATCTGGGCCTCCGATTTTTCGTGGCACGCGCGGCACATGACCGGGCGATGCGTTTGGCCCGTTCTCCTGTAATGTTCTTTCTGACTGTCCGATAAATGGCTCACGTCTGTAAACGCGGGCCTTATCCATCCCGTCCCCAGCGGTCAGATTCTGAGCGAAGGCGACGCGCTGCGAGCCCCCCCAAGGGGTCGGCGGTGTGGCGTAAGCCCAAGAATCTTCTCGCTGTGCGAAGTGCCCCCCTTGAAAGACGAGCGCCCCTTGAGCGCGCAACCCAAGCGGAAAGTCAGGTTAAATGAAACCGTTCCTCATCTTTCGACAGAAGTAACAGTCCGACAAGATGGAAGCGTCGAGTTGAAGGGAGTGCCCAACAATCGCCCTCTGTGATGAAAAAAGCGGCCTCCTTCCGTGGAACTCCTAAGACGCGGGGCCAATGACGCGACGACGCCTTTCTGAAAACGATCTCCCCAGCATCCGTGCAGCTCTGGGGTCTCTGATGACGAGTGCACGCGGAGCCGAAGCGGGAACCCCATTATGACAACGGTCCCCCGTCTACCCGCGCATCCGTTGGACATGAAATAAACGGGTGTGCGCGGCGCCAGGGTTCGAGTTCCATTTGGAAAAAAAACACCACAGACATACTTTTGGCGACGAGCGAGGGGGGGAAATGAGAAGGAGAAGGCCTTCTCAAAGGCGGCGGGGCTTCTCAGAAGCCCTCGCCCCTTCTGAGAAGTATTTTCTGTCTTCAGGGAAGGCTTGGAAAACTTCTCAGAAGGCGGAGGGACTTCCGAACCTTCTGAGAAGGCCTTCTCCTTCTCACTTCCCCCCCTCGCTCGCCGCCGATACTTGTTCAAACATATTCAGCGTCAAGCTCGCACACGGTGAGAAAGTGTCAGGTCAGTGTCTCGGGCGAGACGCCTGGCCCGCCGTAGCAGCATGCCTGCGCGCGCGGCAGGGACGAGGCGTAAGACAAACTAGGAAGAGGAAGCAAAGCAGCACAACCGCTCCAGAGACAAGGACACGGAACCAAGGGGGAAGAAATGAACGGGAGAAACATTCACAAACCTTATGATCCATCTGCTATGGCTAGGTTTTGCCCAGTTCCCCACCCCAGATATCCCACTGCGCCCCGGAACGAAAGAGGACAGGTCGGAAAGTCTAGAACAGCCTGCGCAGCAAATATCAAGCTGGAAAATCGGAAAGAGAGTTCGCGCTCGCCGCCAGGCTGGCGAAGGCACCCTCCGACGACGGGCAGGCTGGCTGGTTTACGGGCTGGAAAAACGGTTGGCCGGCGCAAAAAAAAAAAAAAACGACGCCGAGTCTGCCCCCCCTGGCCGACCCCTGCGTGGACCAGGGGGGGTGAAAGGTGGGGTGCACTTTTCAGTCTGCGAAACATCCCGTTACAACAGGCAACGGAGTCGCGCTTGGGGTTGTGAAAAGCCTTGCCCTTACAGCTTGGGGGGTGGGGGCGCAAAGTGGTAACAACATGGTCGCTCGCGGGGTCGCGCATATGGTCTCCCACAAAAGGGATGGTGATTCATAAAGTCGCCCACGTGGTCGCCCAGAATCAATATGGCAACCCATGCGGTCGCCCAAAAAGTCGCCCCAAAGTAAAGTAGTAACTCCTGTGGTCGCCCAAATGGTCGCACAAAAACAAGTTATAACCCAAGCGGTCGCCCAGATGGTCGAGGAAAAATCCTAGACGAGAGCATTCCGAACTATCGCCCCGGATGGCCCTCCACCCAAAGAACGCCGCCCCGCGCGGTCTCCGAATGATAGCAAGCATGCGAACTTGAAACGCAATGGCCGCCCCAAAAGGGAAAAAAAACAGGGAGCCTCCGAGAGGCCCGAAGGAGGTCCCCAAAAACGCCCCAAGAGACCCCTAGGAGGTCGCAGAAATGTTTCCGAGACCCCCCCAAAAAAACCGAAAAGACTGCATGCCGGCCCCAGGCGTGCCACGACCTGAACAGCTTTCATGGGAGACCAGCGGAATGGTGGAGGCCCCATCGGCTAGATCTCGTGGCGGATGTCGCGGGAGGGGGGGGGGCGGCGAAGAGCCCCGAGCGCGACCGCAACATCAAAATGCACCTCCGGCGGCGGCAGCGGCGCGAAACGGCGAGGGAGAGGGGAGGGCGCCGTGGGAGCAGGACGGACCGGGAGCACGGGCGGGGTCGGAGCAGCACAGGGGGCCGCACGCGAACCCTACCCCTACCCAACACGATTTCTGAGGGGGAGGGTGGGGTTCACTTCGCTCGGGAGCTCCCGAACGAAATGAGCCCCGCCCTCCCCCTCAGAAATCGTGGGGGCGGGGGCAGGGTTCGCATGCGGTCCCCTACAGCAGGAGGGGACGGGGAAGCCTTGGCAGCAGGATCGGGAGGCGGAGTGCGAGCCGCGAGCCGGGCAGCCAGGGGGCAGATGGAGGGGGGCGAGGGCGAGGGCGAGAACAAAGAACAGGGACGGGAGCGGAGCTGCAGAGGCAGAGG